TGAATAAAATATGAACGATGTGTACAAGAGCAAAATATTTTGTTACCACTTATCTTCAAAGAGGTTAACAACTCTAAGAGCTTATAAATGACAACACTGAGAGCTTCCGAAAAGACAGAAAATACCCAGATTTGTGGGCTCCATCGAAATGAGATCTGGTTAGGCGCTGACTTCATGATGATAGAAAAGCTTTGTACTTTTCTTTCTTTCCCTTTGTTGTAAATAAGAGAATAGAGAAAAATGATGGAATTGATCTTTTTTCTTTGGGGTTCTCTTTAATCTTAATTAATGACATATACTGAGGTGTTTATCTCTGAGGGAACAATTTTTATCCCTTTAGCAATTTCTAAGTACATGAAATCCGAAGACTTTTAACCTCCCCGAACTTCCAGATGTTTGCCTTGACCTAGTGCTGTTATCTGGGAAAGGGCATGTCATCAATCATTAAATGAAACTTGGATACATATAACTACAGCTCTGCTTCCCTTCCTGCCTGTCTCTGTCCAGGCCATGTTTGCCCTAGGGTAGCTCTCTAATTTTAACCTCACAGTGTGGCCCTCATCTGGACATGGTGATGAGGTTTCTCTATCACAGAAAAGTTTGCCAATATACTAGGAGCCCCAGGAACCTAATTCAGGGCCTTGTATACACAAGTAACACAGTACATGCCTATTGACTGACAGACGGAGATAAGTCACCACCATTAAAAGCTTTTAAAACTTCTTTTATTAAAAGCATTTTATAACAAATATTTCTGTTTTGGAAAATCAGGGGCAGCTCCTGTGACCCTAAGGTGCTGACATCTAACCGACCGTCCTTTATAGACTTAGTAGGTTAGAATGCAGTTGGAAATGTAACTGGAAGATCAAGTTTTCGATATTTATTCCAAGGTGGTAGCCTGACTTTCATGCTGTGCCTGCTTCAAAAGCCACATCATTCTTCACTTAATAAACAAGCTTCCTCTTTCAGAAAATTCCTGAACAACATCCAACATGCTACGAAGTGCCTACATAAACCTCAGTATATCAATAAAAACTTTTGGGTTTTTATTTAATCATGCACATATATAAATAATATAACATTGCAACTTTTTTTACTATAAATCTCTCATTAGAGAAAATTATATTTGTATTTAATAATCTTGCTTGTATTTTTATGTGTATTTTCTCACATATTTCATACTAATGTTCATTTTCCCCTCCTGCCTAAGTGGCTCAAAATAAGAATATTTAGGGAAAAAGTGAATAACTAGGTAGCATTTTTCTAACTAAGCACTTTCTCTGAGTGGTATAATGTACAGTGTAAACAGTGAACAGCAACCCAAATGGAAAAAAAAAAAAGTTCAGTCTATTTCTGGTCTGTTAATTGCTAAGTCCAACATACCAGTATGTTAGTCACTCTGTGTATAAATATTGGCTTCTAAAGAAAGGGTATATTGCTTTCCTGAGAACATTCAACAAATGGAACGGAGCCATTTGCAGATGAATAAGACCCTTGTTTAATAGACATGCTCACGCACCTGGGGGTGTCGTCAGACATTTGGGAATAAATGCCTAAGTAGCTGGAATGAGGCGAAGTTCATGAGTCATGGTTGAAAAGTAGTCTTTCATAGAATTTCATAGAAAATCAGAAAGTGTTTTTTCCCTTAAAAACAGAATGTGTGCATAATGATTCAATGTTATTAACAACTTCACTTGTACACTGCATTTAGGAAAAAAACATATAAATCTCTTTTGGATCACTGGTAGACAGGTAACAATTTAGATTTTATCTGGTATCAGGAGGGTTAGAGATTATTAAACAAAAAATTATGTCACTGAACTTCCACTAGGTCAGATTCTATTCTAGTGCTATTTTGTTCATAGTTGAAGCTTTCCTTAACATTTTTTAAATTGATGAGGGAAGGGGGATGGGGGGAACCTTGATTGGTTGCTTCTCACACATACCCCAACCCAGGATCAAATCTGCAATTTGGGTATGTGCCCTAACCAGGAATTGAACCCACCAGCTTTTGGTGCACGGGGCAACGCTCCAAACAACTGAGCCACCTGCCCAGGGCGAAACTTTCCTTAATGTTGTATACATTATGTGCAGCATGTTCTGTCTTCCCTATAGGAAAAAAGCACTTCCAACCTGACAGCAATAAAACATGTGTTTTTAGTTTCTCTAGCTGTGGTGAAGCAGTAGGCAGTCATTTAGTGGTAATTAAAAGTACAAAACATTCAGCTTCACCCTCAACCATATCTTCTACTATTTTTTCAGTTATTTAAAGCCAATCCAGTTTGATTATTCCCTCTCACCTCACCATTTCATTTTCCATCCCTGCCCTGAGAATAGACTGCTGGGGCTGTGTAACCCACTGGGCAGTGGCTGGTGAAGTGAATCAATGGCTGCATAGTATGGCAAATGATATTACTTCCCTCTCACCCATACCCCACCCGCTCCTCAACTTGAAAGGCCAAAGGGTATAGGATTTCAATCTACATAATTTTGTAGACTGTAAGTGTTCAATAACAAAAGTATAAATTCTTGTCCTTGAAATCTCTCAGTATGGGGATGGTCACTAAAAATGGATTCTGATCCAGTTTTGTCCACACAAAGCCCATTTCAGGGCAATGCGGATTTTCCTTCTGTGAGGATTTCTCTCTCCTTTACTTGCATGGACCTAAGGACCCAAGGCAATACAAAACAATAGTTTCTGATTTAAAAACCCATCTAAAAGGTGTCAATTAGTTTATCTAATTTAGTCACAGTTATAGCCTCCAGATTTAAACAACAATCAAGTTGGGGTTGGGTGCAATTTAAAAACAATGCTTGAGTGTGCTATATATCCCTATTTAAATACAATATATCCCTATTTTATCACGTAATTAGTAAATAAAATGTGGAGTTACTCTACCAGTTAACATGCATTCAAGATCCATTGGAACAACTGGTACAGCTGAATAGTGTGCCTACACCCAGAGAATGTGTATGCTGGCCGATTACCATAATCTCAGGCATGCGGTGCCATGTTTGTAAAATGGCTCCTGGGAGGAGTGGGGAAAAACAAATAGCTCTTGAACTCTTGAACAAAGAAGACACTGCATATTAATTCATTAAAGTAGGAAGTTCTATTGCAGCACATTTGTTTTAAAACACCAAAGGAGACATTTCTAAACTATTCCCATTGTTTAAATTTTGAGAGGTAATCACAAGTTTGCAAAAACAATTTTTCTAAAAGACTGCCACTGATAATTACTTTGTCCCTTAATCTGAAAACTGGGAGATAGGACTAAGTGCCTGGTTTCTAAGAAAGGGAACCGTTACTTAGGGAGAGGGCAACAAAGCAACAACAACATTCCAGGCTTTGGAGGAGAGACAGGCAGCAGGCTGGCTGACGAGAGAGAACCAGCCATTCTGAGGAGATTGCCTGTCCTTTAATCTATTGACCCCTATTCCGCGGTGTCTTGTCCATGGCCAAAAAGCTTCCTTAACATCACATTACAAAACAAGAGGAAGACTCTTAGAGTAATGACAGTCTGGAGGTTCTGAAATTTTGCCCCTTTCCAATTAATAACCTAAGTGTTATAGCAAAAGGATCATAGCTGTTTCTTCAGGAAGACTAAAAACACTGTTCAGAAAAGGTGAAGATAGGTGGTAAGTTATTATGGAATTTCTTAGTTATAAATATTCCCCCTTCCAGCATCATATTCGATTGACCTTTTCCCAAACACCTTAAATTTGATTTAAAGCACTGTCAAGATAAGGATTTGTATCTTATATATCACCAAAAATTTCCAACCAAAAAACCTTCTGTCTTCACACAATTTCTTACAGTTTCATAAAATGTCCTGAAAAATGTACAATATAGTATAACATTTAGTTTTTTATAAAATAAACCACTCAAACTGCCAATTTTACTAGAATAAGAATAATATTTTGTCTTTAAAACAGCATCAGAAGGCAAGGACAGAACAGAGATGAGCAATGTCTTATTTACTATTTAGACAACACTAAATCCATTTAACCAAAAAGTATTTTTTAGGCAAATGATGGATTTACTGCCCTAGTAAACTTGTGCTCAATAGAAGATAAAGAATATGAAGCTTTTACCTGAGTGTCTATGGGAAGCCATGGCTCAGAGACCAAGTTCAGGAGCAGTACCTAGACAGTCCTCCCTGGACACCAGCTGATAAGGCTCTGGCTCACTTGTGAACATACATTTAAGGGGAAGCAGCTAACACAAAAATAACCGAGAGCAGATGTCCCACCCCTCCCCAGAGATCACAACCTTAATCCCACTAGAAAATTCTTAACCATTTTAGGTGATCCAAGAGAGAAGAATAGAACCCAGTAAAAATACCAAACACTACATATAAATACCTGTGGGGCTACTCAGCATCCAAATTAGCTCCAGAGCTAGAGAGGCCACATAGAAAGTCATCCCTGTACCGGAATAAAATTTGGACTCCACTCTGGCATAGCTTAACACTGAGCCACCCTTGTTAACCCACTTTATATGCCTAAAGAGCTTGTATTTGGCCCTACGAAGAATTCATTTTTGTGCCATTAATGATAAAAGTAACTATAAGAGATAGACTTATGTTACCAGTATAATTGAAAGGAATTAGTATGAATATAGAGACCACAGGCATTATCTATGTCCTCCTTGGAATGTACCAGGTTAGCAGAATTACTGAAAAGAACAATTCTAGCCACACATCTCCTTAGTGTCAGACAGAGCAAGGAAGAATAGAGACAAACACCCCTATACCCCCTATGTACATAAGGAAGAGACTTTGTCCCACAAATGAAATATCTTGCTTTTCACTGCAGGGACAATAAAAGTAAAAATATGGATGGACCTCAGAGAGAAGGTAGGGGAGGGTGGGGTAAGGGGGAGAGATCAACCAAAGGACTTGTATGCATGCATATAAGCCTAACCAATGGAAACAGACAACAGGGGGTGAAGGCATGAGTGGAGAGTTGGGGGGCAATGGGGGGACAAGGACACATATGTAATACCTTAAAAAGAAATTTTAAAAAATATGGATGGAAATGATAATGGCAACCTATCACGCTGTAACAGCTCAACAGACCATCTGATGGCTGGAGACTGGTCACTAGGAACAAACTCTAGGAAAAGCCACAGGATGGCTGTAAGTCCCTCGATGACCCCCTGGCCCTGTTCCTTCTCTGGCCCTATCCCTGCCCTGCCCCCACGCTGTCACTCCCTTCAACTACAGCCTCATTGGCCTCCGAACTATCCCTTGCACCCTCCAGACACGCCCCACCTCAGGGTCCCAACACTGATTCCCTCAGCACCAAGCCTCTCCGGTTTGCTCCTCTACTTCCTCAAGGCTTTACTCCAGGTCACCGTTTTAGTGATGTCTTATTTGACCACCTTATTTAAAACTGTAACCATGTTACCTGCCCTGGTGTTTCCTACCCCCTTCCTCAATTTGTTCCCCACAATAATTACTTGTTGAAAAAAATTAATTAAAAGAAGCAAAAAGTGTTAATCAAGCCTCATATAAAATCAAAACATAGTCCCACCTGGAACCCTAAAAATGGCTTTGGCCACTGAAGTTCAAGGAAGGCAGCTAACCCTTCACTCTCCAATAGGCCCTGGGCTTAGTACCTTATAGACAGTCTCGTCTAGTGCATGTCACTGATTTTGCCCTATTCATACATCTCCCCTACCAGGGTGAGGGCTGGGAATATGCTTTACTTGTCTCCATATTCCCAGCACATAGCAGGTAAGCAATACAAGCTTCATGGATAAATGAATGTGTGTTTCACAATTCTTACGCTCTTCAAACGTTTAGTGAAAAATTAATCTAAAAGACAGCTGAAATTGTCAGGATCTCCTACTTAGCTGAAAAAATGGCATAACAAAGCCAATATATGTAAAAGGCAAATTGCATGATAATGTCAAAAAATAAGCCTGGGAAAAGAAAGGAAATGACACTGTGCTCTCCCCCCAAGACTCTAGCCTCTTTCTTATCCAGGCTGATTGCATTATAGCTGGGAGCTTGGCCAGTCTAAACAATACCACGCCCCTAAAATAAACTTCAACTTTCCACCCTGAGGAAATTCTCTACTTTATTAGATGATTAACCTTTATGACCCCCAAATTTTAGATTTCATTGAGGTATATTTTTAGGTAGAGCCAAGGTATTTTTATGCCCCTCTTATAGTGCTGTGAACAATAAAAGTAGAGTGCTAAATGCTTTCCTCTAAGAAGTCAATTCTAGTTTCAAGCCATGCATCAAGAGGTGTATTCTTTTAGCAAGTGTGGTGGTTCCAGCCATCTGATCATTTTGAAAAGCAACTGAATATGGACAGTGACTGCCTTATGAGGTTAGCAAATCAACATAAATCTATTTTGCCTGAAACACAAGAGAAAACACAAAAACAAGAGCACTATTTCCTGACCATTAATTAATTAAGTCAAATACAAGTCAGTATGAACTGGGAGCTTGGCCCTACAACAATAGCACTTATTCTATATGCAATTTACTTCAACCAGGTTAAGTCTGCCTTCCTAAAAAATTCCTGAAGCATGACCACAGCCTGCTCTTACATTTATCCCCATGCCCATGTCCTCAAATCACAAAACCACAACTTTCACAAAACCAAAACACAAAAGGCCCTTTGTGAGGTGAAACACAATTTTTCAATAAGAATAGCTGGTAAGTTTGCCCTGTCTTGGATCAGTAGTTCAGAAACCTTGCTGGTTATTTAGCACACGCCCAAACAATCACTGGTTTCATTAGCTTCTGAGCCAACTTCATTACACATTAACAGTATGATGTTAATATTATCCTTAATAATCACTGTACTGTTTACAAAGCACCTTTGTATACTGTTGGTGGAGCTGGTTGGTGTTTGATTAACAAATCTCTTCAGTGTCTGAAGGCCACATTTCAGACCTTTTGGTCTTTCACACTCCAGTGTACATCAGGATGATTTTTCAGTGAGTGTTAGGCATCAAAAATCCTAAGCTCCCTCTTGCATATGATCCTCTGAGAACCATTTACTTCAGAGGTTATATACACATTCTTGTCTTCCAGCAACTCAGTAGTTACATTTTAACCTACCCTTGGGCCCTACCTGTAGATGATACCACCCCATACATCTATATATTTTATAAGATGAATACTTATGGAACAGTTGTCCTACTATGTGGTGCAGGGTATTTTGTTATTCACAGGGAGTAAGACACAGCCCTTCCTTCCAAGTGTACCAATATCAATATACAAATAACTGTCAGGCAAGGCAGAGCATGAGATAAAAAGTGGTATTGAGATTTATCACAGGCAGCAATCACATCAGGTTTGGGGGGTTCAGACAAGACTTGGTGAATGTGATAATATTTGATCTGGTCCTTGAAGAATGGGTAAGACTTTAGCACAAGGAGAAGAGGAGAGAGAATTCCAAGAAAAAGTACAGTGTGAGCAAAGGTATGAGAAGAACAAAGGGGCTGCTCCAGAAGCAGGACACAGACCAGCATAGGAGTACACCAAGCTACAAAGGAAGGGAAAGCCAGAGCGTGAAGGGCCTTTTTGCAATTGGTAGAAGGGAAGGGTGAGATTAGGATAATGCAACCAGTAATAAGAAGGGTGAATCCTGGAGAAGAAAGTCTGGTAGCAGGGAGAGTCAAGAAGGTATTGTGGTTGTCCAGATGAGATGTAAGGGGGGACTGAATGAATGAGAGCAACAATGGCAATGGGCATGGAAAGGAAAGAAGGGTTTTAAGGGCCACTGTGGGTCAGGACTGACAGGAAAGATTTGATGTATTGAAGGAGAAGGAGCTGGTGATCCCTTACTTGGTGATTCTGGGTGATCTGGGAAATAATGGGGAATTTGAGAGGTGGCACTGGTGGGGGGAAGAGTGATGCTTTATAATGAGGTTCTTCTGAAATGTCAATAACTAAATCCCTTTAATGGGATCCAAGTTGTCAAGTCAAGAGAGAACTAGGGCTGCTGGTGAGGTTATGGTGGAATCACATTTGTGGAGATTCTCCCACTGCAATCTAATCCCAGCCTCTCTACCTCAGAAACACCACAGGGAGGATCAAACTTGCAAAGTTCAAAGTGGTGCAATCTAAGAGTGAAATGCAGCAAATTCAGTGGCCTAGTTGGCCCACACCTCAAAGTTCTTAGTTCACAGGTTGGCTTGTGGTCACCCTTCTTCCTTTATTATATTTTTCATTTACCAAAGAAATTTCCAAATGATTTAAAACTTCTTCAGACAATTACTGGTCATTGGTCATGGCAAAGGCAAGAGGCTGATGACAATCTGGAATGGAGTCTTTGTGGGTTTATCAGTGGTTTGATTTCCAGTTTTTTACATTATTCTTCTCCTCATGCCTACTATTAATAAGTTAATACACTGCAGGTTTTTTCTCAACATAACTTTGTCAGACTACTAGTCCCTTCGCCAACAATTTTACTGAGTGACTCCAACTACGAGATTAGGCATCTAGTCATGTACTATGATATGATGGGATTCGATGCTGAGCTCTCCCAAGTATTTCTTGTCCTATGTACTCTTGCCATCTCATGTTCCTGTCAATCTTTAGGGTGGGAAGAGTACTTTTTCTTACTGACTAATCAAATTTTGCAAAGTCACTGCTTAAATGTCACAATTCAGGGCATATCTGTCAGAGTAAAACAAGGGAGCCTCGCCAGAACCACCCAAGGGGCAATCTCATGCAAGATCCAAATGAAAGCAAAGCTGGAATTATTCCTCCCCAAATGGTCTCTAAGTTTCAGAGCAAAGAAAAGGGCAGCTATGAAAGGGTAAGAGCTGTTACAAATGAGCTTAGACACATGAAACAGAGAACTCTGCAAACTGCAAAGCACCTTGAAAATGCTAATTTATTCCAGTAAAGACATGTTCATTTCGCAATTAACCAGGGTTTAGAAGGTTTCTTTGTAATATTCACACAGAGATTAAGAATTTAAACGTGTACCATGGCTTTTGCCACTTGATTTTTGGAAATTTCATCCCAAGGTGATTCGTAACAGTTTCAAATGTCTCCAGTCCTCAAACTCAGACCCTTCCTATATTGCTATGAGACTCACCAAGATGTATGAACTATCCCAACCATATCCTACAGATATGTTTATGGGCCTCTAACCAGAAATCACCATCAGAACAACACTGAACAAATGACTTTCAAAGCAAGCCACTATATGATCTCAGGTTTA